GATGCTGCAAACCACGCTTCCAATTAGGTGCAGCACTGTGGCACCTGTCTGGATGTGACACGATAATGCACCTGCTAAACATTATAAGAAGCTTCAGAGATTCAATGTGACACACGTGAAGCAATAGCTGGAGTTTAGTCAACACTCCATCAGTTAAAAGTCTATATTTCCAATTATCTGTGGACAGTTTGCCTTCAAGGATAATTGGCTTCCTGCAGCTCTCTAGAACAGATATCAGAGAGCTCTTTCTCTTCCACAGAGGAAAATCTGGAATGGTTTATAGCACACAATAGTGTGGAGGTGTCCATGTCAGAGGGAAGGCAAGATCTGGGAAACAGTAAGGTACCATACTGGTCAGAAGTTTAAGGGGACTAGCCTCCAAAAACCTGAGGGACATTCATTACCACATTCTGCTTATGAACTGCTGGGCTTGGAAGTCTGTGCTGTTACGCAAACCTGTGGCAATGTTCTTGTCCCTCTGAGGAGACTGCCAGGAGATGGGCAAAGAAGGGTTTAATCACCAGGGACTGCAATGATCCCCTTGGTACAAGGCAGATTGAAGTGACACCCTGGGACAGTGGCTACCCTGCTTCCCCTTTTGATACCAGACATGGAAGCTGGGAACAGGGAGAGGGAATTTAATGTGAAAATAGGTATTTGAAGAACTGCATTTAACAGGCCTCCTGTGCGTATTCCTGTGCAGTCTTCAAGCCACCAGCCAGACAAACACAGCCTGACAGATTCTGCCAGCTGTCCACCAGCTCCAGGATGCATGTGCTGGAAGTCCTGCGTAGTCAGGCTGCACAGTCCATGGAGGAGAACTGATAGAGAAAGCAGGAAATCACAGGTGAGGGAGGACTGCAAAAAAACAAAAACAAAAAACAACAAAAAACAAACAAACAAACAAAAAAACAAAAACAAAAAAAAACCACCAAATCCACTGAGGAACTGAAGCTTCATGTAAACATAATTATTTGAACAGAAAATTGTGTGTTGTTTTGTTTTATTTTACTTTATTTTACTTCAAAACATTGCTGACATGCCTCCTGCAAGATGCAATTTCACCACTCTGTGCTCTTGCTCTCCTCTGTTGACAAGGCCTGCTGACTAAAGGGCAGCTTCTGGGAGTCTGTCTGAAACTTCAGTGGCCTCTGTGAGTGTTGGCAGATGTAATCTTGTCTCAAAGTGATGCCCAGATGAGCCCAAAGGAAAGGGAGGGCTGTTGGTAACTCAGGGAAACTTCAGTGCAGCACTTCAGCCCTGTTTCTGAGTTAAATCATTTGGGACTCAGTTCCTGGACTTTGTTTTAAAGATGAAAAATCTGCAGCTTGCAAGGGAAGAGCGAGAAGTGCAAGAGGTAGAAGAAGGGGCGCCGGGTTGTACACATCCCAGAGTGCTGGAGCAGATCTGCCTAAGCATGGGTATATCTTTCAAAGAATTACTAACTCAGTTGTGAACCATCTCCATGTACATCCCACCCCTGAGTCATGAGGTTTTGGCCCTGTACAATGTATATTGGATAGTCGCCTCTGAGGAGCTTCTGGCTTCAGCTCATCTGCAGTTGCTTGGAGAACCAGGGAAGCACACGGTGCCTGAGAGCATGAAGGCAACTGCCTAAATATACCAGTTCTTAGTAATGTGTCCCATAAAGGGGGAAGTGATGTAATTACCTAAGCCATAGTGAGCAGCATCATACCAAAGAAAACAACAGAGAGAAATATATATGTGAAGGCTCCTGGCACAAGCCAGCCCGCAGCTAGTTCCTGACCTGCTGGTATGTCTGAGGCACCTGGTACCAGCTGATGGTGGGTTGTGTAAGAGCTTTGTGTTCTCCTTTTGCAGCCTGCCTCCCTGCCTTTGTCTGCACTGTCCCTTGTTCATATTTCTGTAGGGCTGCTAGAGAGCAAGCAATTTGCTCCATGCCAGCAGGATGCTAATCACCAGGGACCATGGGCTGCAAGTTCCCAGGAGCAGCTGCAGGGCACCAGGGAACTACCCAAAAAACTGTGGGACACCGGCACCTCCCTCTGGGCATGTTCTTTCCCACCACCCATCTCTGTTAGGCTGTGGAGCTTTTGGCCTGAATTTTACCCTGTTTGGGTCAGGTGTTTCTGCCTTTCTGCTAAGCAACCAGCTGCATGGTATTGGTGACCTGGCTGCGGAGTGCAGGCAGACCATGGAGGAGGATCTGTTTGCACATTATTCGCAACTGGTTTTTCTCTTCCATCTGTCCGACTCTGCCATCTGGGATGTTCTTCATTCCTGCAGGATAGCAGCAAGGCTTCTGGGCCTGGCTCTCACTCCAATTCATCAACAGAATAACACAGTCATTGCACAGCAGCTCTCCGATTCAGGCATTTTGGCTTACCAGCATGGTGATATCACATATTATTGCCCTATAAACCTTTCTGGGTAGAAATGCAATGACTGGATTAACTGTCCCCAGCCTACCTCCCATGTGCTCTGCCTGTAGCAATCCCATCCTCTCCATTCTGGGGAAATTAAAGGCTTTTCTCTGTTGTGTTAGGAGGGCAGTGCTGCTAAATTTAATGTCTCTTCTTTCTCGGAAAAAGGGCTTGTGCAGAAACAGACATTGTTTCCATCCTTGTCCCACTGCTGCAACAGTAGACTAACATATAGCCCAGTTCTACACCAGTGGTATGTCATCAAACTGCTCCTTGTGTATGGCCATGTGTTTAGAAAAACTGGTGGTTCTGTAAGAAAACTATAAACTATTCTTGATATGTTACACAGTGCAACACAGCTTGAGAAATGAGAAATCCACCGGTAAAACACACGGGGAAACTCTCTGAGACTAGATTTTTGTTTGGGGCATGAGAGACCCAGTTGAGCTTTCCCTGTCAAATACGGGAAAGCTTTATTTCTGGCACCAGGACAAAGCTGAGAAGGCTCAGTTTGCCTGTAAATTAAGTTTTCTGTGGGCAGGAGTTACTGACATAACTGATGATTACCAAAGCCATGGCTCCTTGTCAAAGAAAACAGGAAGTGTGGTGGAATAAGGCACTTCAGTTCAATATATGGCACTTTTTCAACCTTTTCCTTCAATTCCTGTTCTATCAGCTCTAAGTGGGAAGAGCATGCCATGCTGTTGTGCAGAGTCTGTCCCATACATACGTTCTACTAGAAAAAGAGGCAGAGAAGATGGGCACCATCTCTCCCATCATCATGTCCTGGGCACCTGACATTTGGAAGTGGTTTACATTTCTTTTTAGAATGATGATGAGATCTGCATGACATAAAATGGAATGGTCATGAAACCATAGAGGTGAGTCAGTAGGGTACACCTAGCTCAGTGATGCTCTGGGTTGGACTCGTTTTATCAGGGTTACTTCTAATGCCCAAAATTCTTGCACCCTCTATTTAGTGGAGTCGTGCTAACATAACTAGAAGACTGTTTCTGGAGTATGTAACTGTCTAGGCCTAAAAAGATTTTTTCAGAAGTGAAAATAAAGGACTCAGCCAAATTGCTAATATTTGTACTGACCCACAGATAAAAGCAGCACCATTCCCCAAGTCTAATTATGCTTGGAAAGGGCCAGGTTTTATTCATTTTTCACAAATCTGATGGATATTGACTTAAATGTTTCTACTGGCAGGATACGAAATAAAAACAACTCGGATGCTAATTGCTATTTAGTCAATCAAAATGCTGTGATTTCAGAAAATAAAATTCGGAAATGAACTCAAAGTGCTTCATAATATTTTGGAGTGCTAAAGAGAGCTGGTGGCAAATGTAGAGAAAAATAGTCTCAAAGCTCAGTGTAGGATGGACTTGAAAACACTGCTACAATACAGAACACTAATGGTGGTCTCTTTCTTCAGTGGTTTGGTAGTGGAAGTGGCTTATTAGACATTTACAGATTAACTGCTGTAATCACCATTGCTATAACATAGTGTCAGCATCTGGGGGCTCTAAGTTCACCCCTGGGGAAAAAAAAAAGCACAGACACACACACACATATATATATATATATGTATATATTTGACACTTTAGTAAGTAGCACTGCTAACCTCAGATTACCTTTGATTCCTTGTATTGATAGCCTCCAATGCCCAAACACACATAAGCAGATGAAGTCCAATAAAAATACTCTTCAGGGCAAGGATCCATTTGCAATGTATGAAGCATTCCTGTTTAGAGCTGGGCAAACAATTATGATTTTGCATTTCTTGGTCCAATAATTTGGGGTTGAATGGAATATTTTACTAGAACACACTAGGGAATGCTTCATTCGTGCATTTTTATTTTTATTTTTTTTGTGTGTGTTGTAGTGTTTTTTGTTGTTGTTGTTATTGTTTTGTTTTGGTTTTTTTTCCTTAACAGCTTAAGAATGAAGGGATGGAGCTCTGGGAAAAAGCCTGCTGTGCAGAAAAACAATAAAATTTTAGATCTTGAGGGCATTTTTAAAACTTCATCTTTTGACTGGAGCAATTTGACAGCTTTGTAAACTGTTTACATTGTATGTTTTCTGAGGAAAAAATTGTCTTCAGCCAAAGTAACTAACAAATCTCTAGCTATGCTACAGATGGATCTGGTATTGCTAAAGCTGTGTGATTCTTCCATTTTAAGTAGCATGTGCTTTTGTCACACTTTGATAGATTGGGCTGATGTTTCCCATGCCAATTGTCTTCCTCTAGATAAGTGCTTATATATTTGTTCTGGAATTTTCATTAAAAACAAAAACAAAACAAAGCAACAACAACAAAAAAAGCAGTTCAACAGCTCTTGAAAATGTATCCAGGAAAAAAATATAAAAATAATTAGTTTGATTAGTTGTATTGGGTTTATGTGGCAAGGTTTTGGTAGCTTGGGGTGGCCTCAGTGAGAAGAATCCAGAAGCTGCCCCAAGGTAGATAAGGGCTGGTTTCAGCCAGCTCCAAAGGGACCTGCCGCTGGCCAGAGCTGAGCCTGGCAATCCCATTTGCACAAAGCATGGCCTGACCCTTCATTCTTTTTTCATGTAATGTTGTGAGGCCAGCATGTGTCCTCAGGTTGTCCCCAGTCAGCTCTAACCTCACAAAGCTCTTCTTGGTGGAAGCTGATGAGTCTTCTTCTGGCACTGTCCTGGAATAGTGGTGCTGCTGCTTGACTTGATCTGGCCTTGGATGTCATATCAGCCTGGAGCATGTAATGATGGAGGTAAAATCCTGCTGTGTATGAACAGATGCTGAACCTCTTTTCTCTTTCCCATTCACTGTTTTAATTGCAGTTGTCCTTCCAGATTCATCTGCCTTCTACAGATGCCTGCTGCTGCAGCGCCTGTGTTATTCCCATGCAATCAAGCATTGGCATGAGCCATCTGGAAGGCTTGGCTGACCTGTCCAGTATCTAGTTTACAACCCTACTCAGGCATAGCACACCAGGGAACTGCATAAGACAAACTGGTCCTCCTGGGACCTGACCCAGGGCTCTAGCACCCACAAGATTTGCCCGTTCTCATCCTCATTAGTCCCAGAGCAGTGTCAGGGAGATTGTTTTATAACTGCATAACATAAAAGCAAAGGGAGGGAAGGCATCTCTATGGGTACTGCTTGAACTCTGACATCAGATCTCAGGCAAGATCTGTGCCCTTGTTTGTTCAAGCAGCAGCTTGCCTCTGGAAGTCAAGAACTGACAGATTGCTTCCATGTGACACTGGCTGCAGAAATTGAGGTATCCTCATGCTCTGAAATGGGCAGTTGGATTCTGGAGGACCTTTGGTCCTGACGGTGAAGTGAAGCATGAAGCTGGTCCTGCTGCATCTGCCCAGGCAGGATCTGCTCTCTGCCTCCTCCAGTCGTAGTGAGAGCAAAGTCAGCATCTGTCTTGCCCATGTGCATGCCAGTATGGCTGCAGAAACCTCCTGGGAGGCCAGAGGTGGACAGGGAGCCTCTGCTGGGGCAAGGAAAAAGCACAGAGCCTGATAGGCTGCAGTATCCCTTTAGAAGAGAGCAGACTTCACAGAAGTTAGCTCGATGTCAGTCATCAGCCTCCGACTCAAAAGAAACCTTGGAAGGGGAATAAAATCCAGCAGCAGCAACCTCTAATCCTGAAGAGTGAGACTGCAAATGTTGTCAGAGAACTCACTTTCATATGTTTTTAATTCAGAGGGAAATATGGAGAATTTGTGTTAATCTACATATTCAAGAGAACGAGATGGCCTGAAACACAGTGCTATGTTTCATTAAATATTTGTCTTAATGCAGAATGCAACAAACCATTATAATCGTGTATTCATGGAAAACACTCTCTTTGAAACCTCCTTCCTACATTACAAAGAGTTTGAATCCTGGATTTAACCACAAAATTCAGCTTGGCAGAAATGAATTACCTACTATGCAGGTGCAGTGGCATCTCCATAGTATAACTTTTCTGTATGTTTATGAGCATAAACACTAAGTGTATAAATCTATTATCAATAAGCAATATGTGAAACCCTGTTCCTGGGACTGTGGAGTATTTCAGCTCCATACAAGTGGAAGATGTGGTCAGTTTATCTTAGACATAAGAATAATGATGGAGTGGTGGCAATTTGAAGTCCTTGTCATTTAGGGAGCTCCAGCAAGGTTTCTCCATCAGCTACCTTAAACCATGGTCTTCTCCAAGTTCTGGAATGATTGACAGGACCATGTGTAGGTTTGTTCCTTATCAGGAATACCAGGGAAAAGTTTATTTAATGCAGAGAAGATGAAACTTTGCCTTATCCATCACTGCTGTTCAGAGCAAAATAAAGGCACCAATTGATTTTGTGTTAGGAAGTAATTAATTGTTGTGCAAAGCCTGGTTTAGAGTTTAAAGGCCACATTACTGCAGCTAGGACCTCTGGCTGTGTCAGCAGCATCTGGCAGCTGAGAAATGTGAAGAGAGGAGCTGAGTTTGCCCTGAGCAGCTAGTCTGTTCACTCCAAAAATAGGCAGAATTCACAAGAAGATGATGGAGGATCATCTTTGCAACAAGAATGGGTCACAGCAAGCCTGGGGGCTTGTCTGTGTCTCTCTGGTTGCCAAACAGACAGGCGCATGTGCTGGCCAGGCATCTCACCACAACCACAGTTCCCATTGATCTGTGTGCTGATCCAACTGCCTGCCCTGGTCTGTACACACCCAAATGATATCTCCACCAAAAAGTAGAGTTATTTTCTAAAAATAAAATACAAAGAAAGCTATAAATCACACATGCAGTAGCAGAGCTGGAAATCCACCCCTGCACCCAGCACAGACAGCCCTACGAAAGAGTCAGGCGTTGGATGAGGAAGCTCCTAGTGAGGACTGGAAAGAGATGAGGGCATGAAGAGGGACACAGCTGATTCTCCAGCATGGAGAGCCCTGGGTATATCTGCCAGAAACCAGCCTTTCCCTGCTGCTGGGAAGCAACCGTTCCAGGTGGCTCTTGCTGAAGGACCTGCATTTGTCTGGAGAGTCCATCAAAACGCAGCATGTATACTTTGCTGTGAGAGTACATCGCCTGGCTGGCTAGGGTATGTGAAAAGGTTGTAGTGTGCTGTAAACACAAAACTACATTTGTTCAGAGGCAACAGGCTCTGTGTTTCATCACTTTCTGTCACTGCAGCTCTGCAGAAAGTTCATTGCAGAACAGATGGATGACCAAGGGAGTGGGGTATTCCCTCTCTGTGCATTAAGTCCTCTTCCCAAGGCTGCAGATGTTCATGAGTGTTGGTAAAGCAAGGTGCTCTCCAAGGAAAAGGAGACTACTTGTAGTGTAAGGCGACCTTGCCACATTCCCTTTGACTTCATTGCCAATCATTTTGTTCAGCACATCATGCTGCAAGTGCTTCTCAGCCTGATGTGTGCCACTTTGTGAGGACTGACACCTGTATTTTTTCTATCTTTTCTGCCACGTGCTCGTTACTCTGTGTGGGCTGGTGCTGTCCCTATCACAGGCACCTATGGATCAATTGCAGGCATTGGTGGGTGTTTAGGACAGCTCTGTCTCCAAATGCTGCTACTCTCACGGGACAACACAGGACACAACACGTGTGGCTCTGCTGAGAGCAAGCTGGCAGCTTGTGGACTGTTCCAGTTGGAGGTCAACCTCTATTTCCTACAAATTACATCCCTCTGGGTGAGTTAAGGTTGATGTTCTAAAATGGGTGCCAAGAATGGAAAGGTCCCGAAGAGAAACAAGTTCTTGAAAGGCTACCACTGAGCCATGCTCAGCAGGGTGTTTTGTTTAGTGGAGTCAGCAGAATTCTGCCTTTTGAAACTGGGGCTGAACAGAGCCAATTGCTGCAGGAAAGAAAAAATAAAAAACCAGGAAGACGAGTCACTGTTTCAGGGAAGGCCTTTGATTTAGGGAGCATTCAGTTGGATATGCCCTGCAATGTGACTCAGCAGGGCAGGAAGAATCATACAAAATCCTCAGCAAATCTGGACATCAGCTTCACTGGGTCTTTAGGTTTAGCTAAGAAGGAGGGTGACTCCCAGACTTGACTTAAAAGAGAGAAAACAGTTGTGAAATACCAGGCATGGAGTGCTAATAATTTCAGTTCCTTTATCTCTGTGTATTGTTCCCTACTCTTAAATGTCACAGCCACAGACCATTTGTCCCACAAACTGCTACCTCATTCAGTGCATTGCTTGGATGGTGATAAAGGAGCAGTTCTGTAATACTTTGCCTCATTGGGTTGCTTCAGGCCTTCTTTACTGTATATCATAGTCCTGCCCTGCTCAAATTGTCCCTGCAGGGTTTTCTGCAGGGCTGAATGCTTAGTGTTACAGAAAGTTTTATCCTGTTGTGCATCAGTGTCCCAGGGGCACAGCAGCACTCACCAGGCACTCAGGTCCCAAGCTCCCCGTATTTTTGAGATGAGACAGAGAGGATCAAGCTCTTCAGAAGTAATTCTTTCAAAACATTGCATTTTGTTAAGCATGCAAATCACCTTGGCACCAGTGCAGATGCAAGTACGCATTTTTTTCTGCAAATCACAGTATGATGCTGGTCATCCAGAAAATGAGAGGTGTATGATTTGTGAGCACTTGATAACATCCTGCTTTAAGTCACTTGTTGAGGATGAGATGTGGTCCTCTGGGAGGAACAGGGACAGGCTGTGTTTTTCCAAACCTGCGTTCAACATCACAGTCACAAGAATTTGCAGATTTCTTTATGACACAGCCCAGACTAATTCCCAGGCAAGTCCAGCCTGCTTACTGAATAAGAAAGGTGTTTTGTTTAAAAAATGATGAATAATCATATGATTACACTCAGCCTCCTAAGAAGTATTTACAAGAGGGCCTAATGATGATTATACAGGCAATCTCATTTCTAACTACTGATTGGCTTTTCGATCTTATATATTGAACGTGGGATTGTGTGCATGCTTGCACTTGCATGCATATGTGCATGGATGAGCCAGCACATACTTGTCTGCTTCCATGTCCATGTATGAATGTTTCCAGAGTTTTTAAAGACTAGATGAAAACCCCAGGCTTCTCACAGTATTTCCAGGGTGGCAGAGTTTGAGCATACCATTAGTGAGAGCAGAGTAGAGATCAGAGGACTGCTCATGCAGGAGGGAAGGAGTGTCCCCAGAAGGTCTGGACCGCAGTGGCTCCTCTCACGTCTTGAAAAGCTGGAGGTCCCCCTCTGAACGTCTGCCATGCTCTGACTGTGGCTCTGCTTCCTTTCCAGCACAGCATAATGGACTGAGGGTGTTTCTCAAGGAGGTGTAGCCTCAGCGAAAGAGCACACAGAGAGTAAAAGGAAAACACACCTATACATCTCTTTAAAGGATGAAGTGGAGTTGTAGACTCTTATCTTGCCTGCCTCTTGATGTCACATTAAGACTCAGCTCTGCTGTGAGCAATAGATGAGGCTTTTGAATCTTTCTCGCACAGTTGAAAGAACTGAAAACACATGTTTGAGTTGCTAATTAGAGTCTGAGCCAAGGTCTGTTGTAGAAATCCTGATCACTCTCCTGTCTCTAGCAACAAAAACCAAAGCAATCCCTTTATATACATGCCACATTTTCCCTGAAGAGTGTTTCTGGTATCCTTTGCTGATCTCTGGAGTGATGTTTGTTCAGCTGTGACTAGAGAAACATCTCTCCGCTGTTGCAGTGGATGGGAATGTAAAATGCAATTAACTGGCAGCCCAGGCAGGGAGCCAGTTGCTGGCATCCGAGGCAGTACCTGTACCCTGCAGACCGTCAAAACCCAGGTTCTCTTGTCAACAGGATAATATGAACTCCACAGACCAAGCACTGCCCCTCCTGTCCCCATGATTATGTAGGTCTCTAGTAGAGCAGCTTATTTACTGTGAGGCACCCTTTCCTCTGTCCCCACCTGCCAAGGCAATGCCAAGGCTCACAGCCTCCCAGAACTCCTCCATGTCAGCCACCAGGAGAACTCCAACTGCTCCCTGTTTCTGCTGCTGTGCTGAATGCAAGCTGGAGCACACCATGACCTTTCTTCACTGACTGTGCAAAGCACTGCACTCAAAAGAGCACACTGTGCACAACTGGGAAAAGAATAAAGGTGGAAGGTCCTTGGGTAGGGCCAGGAGTTGTCATCCTGGGCACTGCTCATTGGCAAGGATTCAGCGAGTGTTATAATAGCAAGGAGCCTGTGTATTGTGTAGAGTTCCCTGAGTGCATGTGCCAGGAACGATATGACACAGAAAAATGATTCCATCAGTGTTCATGGAATTTTCCATGGTGTCAAATTAGCCTTTCTACTATGCATGATTCGGGGCTTATGTGAACCCAGATGCCAGGGAGAAATATGTTCTTGTGGTATTCCTGGCTACAGAAGAAGACAACTGTGTCCAAGAGATAACCCAGTGCAACTTAGCAGCAGTGCAATGGGTGTGCTTGAAATGAAGGCTTATACACCGGGACATCGACAAATGAGCAATCTCTGCACACCCCATTCTCAAGTGCTGCTCTTAGACTCTTTCCAGAAAGGAGCATCCCCACCTCCTTTCCAGACTGCCTCAGTTCCCTGTTCAGGAGAGGGTGTAGGAGGTAGACTGGCCAAGGGACAGTTCAGATGCACAGCAGAAATGCAAGAATATAGATTTCTCAGCTGGATAAATAATAGAGCTGATATCAGAGATAAATTTGCTTAATTAACCCCCTTTTTAGTGAGTCCTAGAAGTGTTTACTGTGTAATTTTAACATAAGCATCTTTTCAGGTCAAATTTTTCATGGGACAATGTTTATCAAATTGGGACACTCAATAATCCTACAAAATCTGCAGATTCACTCCTTCATCAAGAAGCAAAGTACACAATCAACAATGCACTGATAATATGTAGATACACCCAATTCTGCCTGCCTGAACACACAGATTCAGTTTTGAGGGCAAACCAGAAAACAAAGCAAATCTCTGAGCTTTCTGTTTGCATTCACATTTAATTGCCATTTCTCAGGTCTTTTGTATCTGATATATTTTCACCCTTG